TGAAAACTTTTTTTGTCAAAAGTTTAAATTTTAAACTTGTCATCTATTCAACCCCCTCTAGATCGAATCCTATTGTCTAATAAAAACAATATTTTACACCTATATATCCTACATGCAATCTTGAAATAGATGAGACAAATTTAAAGGTAGATTAAAAGGAATATAAAGGAATGATATAGTCTATTTCTTATCTAATAACCTATAAGATTGATATTTTATTTAGTGTATGCGTGTATGCTCCTTATCAATTAGATCCTAGATAATCTTAACTTATGTTAAGAGAATCTTTAGATCACTAAAAGTAACTACTAATATTGATTTTTCTTGTATGAAATCAATTAATTATAATTTATTAGGATTCTATGACACAGACTATGCTAGAGAAAGAATTAAAAGAAAAAACACCAGTAGAAGTTATTAATTTCTTGATGAAAATTTAATCTATCTGTCAAGCAAAAGAAAATACACAATAGTATCATCAATAGGTGAAACATAAAACATATTACAAACACATTGCAATAATCAATTTCTTTGGATGAAACGTCTACTAGAGAAATATAAAATAAAAGAGAGTTATAGTCATATCTTCTTTGATGATACTTCTGCATTTTTAGTGTGTAAAAACTATGTTATGTATTTAAGAGCCAGAAATATTAAAATTAAACATAATTTTATACGAGACTATGTGCATAAAGAAATTCTGAATATTATGTTTGTTGAGAAAAATCCTCAATGCGTTAATATATTCACTAAATCTCAAGTTGAAGATAAATTTGATGAGTTAATATATGCACTATCCAAACCCTTGTATTGTTTACTTTAATCTTTTGTTTTTCTAAGTATCTTGTAATCAAATTGTTATACCATGAGTTTTTTTGTAATCTTTGTGAATGTTGAATGGAATAGCGTTTTTCTTTATTGTCGAGTTATGATTTAAAGTTATGGGTTAATATATGCACCATCCAAACCCTTGTATTGTTTAATTTTATCTTTTGTTTTCTTTAAGTATCTTGTAATCAATGTATTATCCCTGAAATCATGTTCTCCAAATACGAAGATGTCAAATGCAATGTCATAAAAATGTGTATGACAAGAGTAATACGTAATTAGTAAAATATAAACAATAAATAAAATACATGAATTGATAACCTAGGTCGGTGCAAAGAAAAGAAATTCACTCTTAATAGTTAAAAGTGCAAATTGGTATAATTTGAACTCTCCTAATTCAATGCTTATTTTATTAATACTACCTATGAATTTCTATTAAGGACTCCCCCTGAATATAAGCACCCTCTCACTTTCACTCAACATTCTTCCCAACTAGTTGGAAAGTTACAAGAATTTTAGAATGATGAATCAAAATTACAACTCAAAATACTCTATTCCTTAACATAGGGATAAGATTCGAGAATAGGGTATTACAAAACAAAACAAATAGACTAAAACAAATAAACATGCCTAATTTGATTGTGCAAGGTATGAATCTTTACAATGAAGAACTCCTCCTTAAATAGAAACTATTTCAAGATTTAAAGCACATTAGGGTTTTTGTCTTTGAACGCGGATGAACATTCCATAAACTCAAGCAGCCAATCTTCCATAATGATTATTCACAACATTTGATTGATTGAATCTTGATCATATTAGTGTTATTCTATTTTGATCTTTCTTATAATGATATTAACTTTACTTTTTCAAAAATAGCATAAAAGATTAAACATGATTAAATAATTAAAGAATCAAATCTTCTATTAGCACAAGATTTGCTCAATGCTAAGCACCTTTTGAGCCAGACAAAATATCTCATAGACTGGGGAAGATTATGCTCAACATTTTGCTTCCTTATTTGAACAAAGAGAGATAGGATGTCTCAAAAATTGTCATGACATATTTCTTCACATGTTGTCTATAAAATGAAGTCAATTAAATGTAATAACAAACTCCCCCTTTATCCAATTTTTAGGCAAGTACACCATGCAAGATGTAAAACACTATCTTACATACATTTTTTGTGACATGATTATCAGAATTATCAAAAAGAAGCGAAACAAACAAATGTTATCGAAAATCAGAAGCATAAGCATACGCTTGCAAACAATAGCATAGCTTAACATACATTCTTATGAAGATCTAAGAACACATATGGATACAATAATTATTCTTCCATATTATCACTATTTTCCCCTTAATTTCCTCGAAATGGGCAAGGGTACAAGCACTAGAAATATCCATCCTAAAACGGGCATACATATAAAGACACAAAATAGGAACCAAACCAACAAAGGGTTACAATAACTAATATCTGGCCCGTGTAAAGAAATCATAACATTAGAATAATTAAACCCACACTAGGGTAGAGAACAAAATGAAGAATCATGCCAAACATTTTGCGTACACACCATTAGTAGTGAAATCGTATAAAGACACCACCTGCTTGCTCTCTTTTTGCATCGATGAAACATATAAAGATATTAGTAGTGAAATCAAACAAAATTGTATGTGGTGTCAATGAATCAGATGAAGATCTTAGTAGTGAAATCAAACAAAAATGTATGTAGTGTCAATGAATCAGATGAAGATCTTAGTAGCGAAATCAAACACAAATGTAGATGGCGTCGATGAATCAGATGAAGACCTTAGTAGTGAAATTTGATTTTGTATTTTTTCTTCTTGACTTGGTTGTAATTTGGATTGTTTTATCTTTTTAATTTGGTTGGAAAAATGATTATTAGTAGTTTGGTTGTGAGAGACATTTTTAGTAATGTGATTGTGCAAGTATTTATTACTAACTTTGTAGCAGCAGTTATTAAATTATATTTATTAGTAAAATAACCATAATAAGAATTTAATAATATAAACAAAAATTAAAAAATAAATAATTCGTGATAGAAAATACCTACAAATTTACATGCGGATTCATAATTTTCTGCGGATATTTCGTGCAGATTACAGTTGTTTCCTGCAGATTTATCTGCAGTTCTTGCTGCGGAATATTTAGCCCCACTGCAAAAAAAATTCCTACAAAAATTTAGCTAAAATTTGAAGGAAAACTGAATATTTGTAGTAGCTAAATTAATAATTAATAATGTTTTCAAATTAATTTAAATAACCATTGGTTAACTGTGATTATAAAAAAAAAACATAGGCAAGGTAGAAAATAATCATTTGAAAGTGATAAACATGATATTATTATATTGTATAGTTGAAAAAAGTAATTAAAATTAAAAAAATAACAATATTTATAAAACTATATTTTTATAAATATGACAAACATTATGAATCGGAGAAAAATGAATAATTTATAGATAAAATATGTGTTTGTTCTGACAAAAATTAATTTTAAATAATTGATTATGTAAATTGATATTGATTAAAAGTAAATTTAATATAAGGTCATTTATATTTATATATTAAGCCTATATATTTATATAAATATTAGTTGAACAATAAACTTCAATCTAAAAATCACATTAAATCTCAAAAACTGTAAATAAATCTTGAATTTAGAATCAATTCTATTCATCATAATCAAACATACAATATCATAATTTTGTTAGTATAGACATTTAATTTTGAGAAGCTTAGCCTTACAAATAGAATAATCCAATACTAGAGGAGTCTTATTGTTGATTTTTATTTGAGGTAAGTATAGACATTTAATTTTGAGAAGCTTAGCCTTACAAATAGAATAATCCAATACTAGAGAAGTTTTATTGTTGATTTTTATTTGAGGTGTTAGCTTTGTCTTAGGAGTTTAAGATTATTATTTTAAATATTGAGCTCAACTTTTCTAAAAGAAAGTTGTAAAATAATTGTTTAAATTATTTTAATTCATACAATTTAAACCTTTCTCGTTCTATTTACAATTAAATTTGAGGAACAGTACAAATAAAATCCCACATCAAATATAATAGAGAGAATTATTATATATATATATATATATATATATATATATATATATATATATATATATATATATATATATATATATATATATATATATATATATATATATATATATATATATATATATATATATATATATATATATATATATTACAAATTTTTAAATTCTATTTTATATATATTAATTTTAACATTTTTTATAAAAAATATAATATTTCTGATGTTAAAAAATCAAATATCAAAAATAAATAATATGAAAACATGTTAATGGTCGAAAGACAATTTCAATTAAACACAAGATAATTCAATAATATAGTAGTTGATACTTTCTAACAACTTTTTTCATTGTTATATAAGAGTATTAATTAAACTATTTTTGTCCATCTCTCTCATGGTGTGCATATGAGAGTCTGTGTGATAATGCAATAAAATTCTATCTCCTCCTGATGATAGATGATAGACAACCTGCCTGCAAGTCTAATCTCTGACTCTACATCTGCCTTTCCCTTTCACCTTTAATTTCTCCTATTACCTTGCAGAGGGTAATTTCTTGACTTTCCACACACTTTTTTTTCCTTTATTCTTTCACCTTCAAACTTACTTAAAACTATTTATGGCTCTCCATTCTCCCACATAATAATATCATATCTCTCTCACATACACATCAACATGCACAATAATATATCTATTATATATTAATTGTCAGAAAAAAAACTTATATATATTTTATATACAAAATTATTTTTGACACAACTATAAAAACTAATTTTTTATTAGAGAAAATTATAATAAACGATAATTTTTTTTAACATTTAATATTACAATATATTTAGAGTTTGATTCGAATACGAAATCTGAGATGTCCAAAGTTTAATTTGGTTATTCTTAATCTTTTATATATTTAATACAATTATTCTCTTATTTATATATATATATATATATATATATATATATATATATATATATATATATATATATATATATATATATATATATATATATATATATATATATATATATATATATATATATATATATATATATATATATATATTCTCACCAAATAGCCTTTAGAACATTAAACATTGATCACTATGACAGATCCTCAATCTAACTTTTTTGATGAATGGTTCAATTTCATGATCCACCACCCTAATCATCATCACCATCATCCCTACTCCTCCTCTTCTTCTTCTCATCAACCATCCTCCTCCTCCTCCTCCACCACAATTAATCCTCCTTCGCCTCCTCTTAGAGAAGCTCTTCCTCTCATCAACAAGTTAAGCCTCATAAATCATCAACAAAATGAACCCTCAAACTCAAACATCATCAATACCACAACTCTAGAAAATGAATATAATCATCATCATCATCATCATCATGGTGAAGATCATTATGTTGATGATGGTGATGAAAGTGTTACTTTTGCCCTACAAATAGGGCTTCCTAGAGTGAATGATAATTCTCCTTCTGATCTTGGATCAAGAATGGTTTCATCAAATTGTATAGAAATGGCTGAAAAAGATGAAGTTAATATGGTTTCTGAAAACCCTTTGGAGAAATTGAATAAGGGTCAGTATTGGATTCCAACACCTTCTCAAATTCTCATTGGTCCTACACAATTCTCATGTCCTGTCTGCTCTAAAACTTTCAACAGATACAACAATCTTCAGGTACTATAACTATTACAATTTTTAGCATATGTTTGGTTTTGCATTCAATTATTGTTTTAAAAGTAATTTCACTTTGAAAAATATCAAGCTACGAGTTCCAGCTTCTAGTTAAACCTGAGTTGAAAGGAATTCCAACTTCGAACATAGATTATAGATTATAGGTTTCCGGTATGTTTAAATTGACAGTGAATTTAAAAAAAAAAATCATAAAATCATAATAACACCGTGATTTCATTGAAGATCAGAAGTGTTAAATAACCTAAGTTCAAAGTAATTCCACCGTGAAAACAAACATAAATTTTCTTATGTTTGAATTAACGGATAAAGTGAGAGGATTATGTTAGACAATCGAATTTTACTTTTATTTTTACCTTCTTCTCTTTTAAAATTTTCCTCTAACTAATTTCACTTGAAATATTTGAATTAAAAAGCAAGATAAATTTTTTTCTGTCACTTGAAATATTTGAATCATTATGATTTTTCTGTCTATATCCCTTTTGCATGGTTTTTTTTGTATTTTTTCTTCTTAGTCACTATTTGATATCAGATTCAGTAGTGCACTTTAATTAATTTTTGGTTTTTATAAACTATTCTCTCATCATGTTACCTTGAACATTGTGCTGCACAGGTAGCAAACAATGAAATGAAAAGAAATTATTAACTAACAATATTTCTTTCACATTTCAAAATTACTGTATAAATAATAAATAACATCTTACCGATACATATGTTTATGATAGTAATATATATTAATCTAAGAATAATTAAAAAAAAAATTGTTTCTTATCTGAACAAATGAATTACCCTTTTCCTACAAATAAAATTTTCAAGTTATTATTATCACATGAATACGAAGAAAAAGCTAAAGAAAATACTGCTTTTTTTTTAATAAAATTTCTACCTGTCTTCAATTTTATGTTAATCATTAAATAGTTTTTCTTTAATTACTTTCTCTTATTAAAAAGTTTGAAACCAACATTTCTTGAATTTTCATACTTTTCATCTTTTTATATGTTCAGTAAAACTCAAATGCTCATCATAATTTCTCTTTCTGCAAAACTTTAGTTTTTTGTACAGTTACTAAATTTGTCCTTTTTTATTTGCATATCATCAACTCGTTGAATGAAACTTTTGTCCATTATTGAATATATTATTTTATAACCAAGAATCATAAGTTAAGATAAAACACAATTTGCACACATAAAATGGTTCTAGAGTAAATATATTATATATGTAGTCACTACTTTCAATTCAAGTATTCAATCACTACAAAGAAAAAGTAACCAGGTGCACAAGGTTTTGAAAAAAATGTCCTTTATGTTAATGTTAATGTAAGGTCGCGACAAAATGGTATTAAAATGTGTCAATATATACTGATAACGCTATTGACTGTTTTTATGATTATACTGCAACAACCGTAATCAGTATCGTAATATTATATAAGTCTTTAAGCGATCACCGTGCATATTAAAGAGAGGTTTTAGGTTTTTCATCACAACTTTTTTCATTAATTTATATATATTTTTTCTATGGATTTTCAGATGCATATGTGGGGACATGGATCTCAATACAGAAAGGGCCCAGATTCTCTAAAAGGAACACAACCAACAGCAATGCTAAGGCTTCCATGCTACTGTTGTGCACCAGGTTGCAAGCACAACATTGATCATCCAAGAGCAAAGCCTCTCAAAGATTTTAGAACACTTCAAACACATTATAAGAGAAAGCATGGTATTAAGCCTTACATGTGTAGAAAATGCGGAAAATCGTTTGCGGTGAAAGGTGATTGGAGAACACATGAGAAGAATTGTGGCAAAATTTGGTATTGTTTATGTGGTTCAGATTTCAAACACAAAAGGTCTCTTAAAGATCATATTAAAGCCTTTGGTTATGGTCATGGTGCTTTTGGGATTGATTGCTTGCAAGAAGAAGATGAAGTAGGTTCAGAAATTGAACATGACGGTGGTGGAAGCTCAATGTGAAAAAAGCTTGAAAAATAAAAAATGAGGTGAATAATCTTTACCCAGTTTCACATACACACTATGAAACACCGATATTAATTTGAAAAATATAATAATTATATGTATCGTGTCAAATATAAAAAATAATGTAACTTATATCTCAATGTCTTACATAGACAAGTTTTTATATTAAATGTAAGTGTTATATAAAATTTGTAGTTGTTGATTGTTTAAATAATTTATGTATAGTTCATACTATATTGTGTACTTTTTTTAATTATGATTTTACTTTTTTCTTTATTATTAAAGTTTAAATCTATGGTATCATTTTGTTTCTCTTGGATGAGTATATGCTTCACGATGTTAGAAAAACTAATAAAATTAAATAAATCGAGGTTAGAATCATGAATAAAATTATTTTTTTTAAAGTATTTTAAGTATTCTCTTGTATATTTTAGAGTTGCAACGCAAGAATATTCAAGATAATTTAACCGTATATCAAATTTGTGCAAGACCGACGAAAACTCGATTATGTAGCAAAGAGTGTATGTAATTTTGTACAAGAGGATATTTGGTTTTTGATATGTTTTCTGAATTTCGGAATGATGTATTTATAAGCCATATATGTGTTGTTTCACAAAGTTGCGACCCTTGAAGAAACCACATTTTAACCAAAAGTTGCATTGTTTTCAAACATTACCTATTTTTATTCCGCAGCAACACTTCAAGAAATGTTGCTTCTATTCGAATTCAAAAATTAGTATTCACTTGAATATTTTCTTGTCATTTTAGAACACACTCATTGTTATTAATTGTTAATAATTTACAACAATCTTCCACTTATTCTAATAAATACAAGACCAATTCCAAAAAAAGAGAAACAAATAATGTTAATACAGTTAAGTATCTTTCGATTGAAAACTTAACCTTAGTAAAGACAACGCAAAGTCTAACCGGAATGTTAGGTAGTAGTATTTTTAAACCATTAATCCATGTGAATAGACCGGTGTTACCTTACACGCATTTCTTAAGGTTTTTTGCCTACATTTCTCGCCTAGCACTTATTTAAGGTCATATATTTTCCTGTTTCATGAATTTTTCATGAGAGAAACTCCAACTTTCACTTTGAGATGGCACCATATCGAAATTCACATAGGTAAAGTTCATATTGTATCCTTTTCCATGAGACACATATCCTCGGTATTGAACTTCATTAAGAGTTTAAATAAAAATCAACCCTCATTTTGAAGGTCAACATTATCAAGAAATGTTCGACAAACATTAAAATCAATGACTTGTTATCCATTGAATCTCGGGGTTAATGTTCTACTAATGTAAAATTGGGTTGTCACCGTTGTCGGAACTCTGGCCAGTGGTTTAGCAAATGGATCAAGAAAATTATAGCTCGATCGTATATTTGTGAATGATTACATCCTTAATCAATTTTTCTCACGAAAGAATGTCTAAGTCCTACTTGCCTAGACTTTCTGTTATACAATTTTTGTATGCTCTAGTTAAAGTGGAAACATTATCTTTAGTCAATAGAACTTCCAACAGAAGGTCCCTCAAGCATTCAACTTCTTCAGAAACGAAAGCAAGAGCCTCAAATTCCGATTATATGGTTGAGAGAATGATCCACATATGTTTCTTGCTCTTTCAAGAAGTTGCACCCTTTGCTGGTGTAAATATCCACCTAAATGCATATTTTTGATATTCAATACTCGATATCCAACTCGCATCGGTATATCATTGTAATATGGCAGGAAATCTACCATAATGGAGACCAAGATTTTTGATTTTCATGAAATATCTGAAATTTTCTAATGATGGTCTTCTAGTGCTCAACATTTGGATTACTAATAAAATCTTCTCATTTTACTAATTTTAAATGCTATGTTGGGTCTAGTACATTGCATGCACTTGCATATTCCAATTGAGCCACAACTCATACATCATCCTTTTGAAGTTTGACATTAGAAGTGGTCACTTCCATAAAGCGTAAGTGTTTGAACTTATAAAGCACTTTTTCAACATATCATGTTTGATTAAGTTCATAACCCCCACTATTACGCTTTACTTTGATCCCCAAAAGTTTGTCAACTAGTCTAAGATTATTCATCTTGAATGTGGAAGTTATAAACCTCTTTGTTTCTAAAATTCTATTCATCTTGTTGCTAATAATCAATCATATAATCAACATGGAGACAAATGGATATCACATTGTTCTCACACAACTTTGTGTACAAACATTTGTAACAAGAATTAGATGAAGAAGGTTTTTGATAACCATGCATGATGAGGCAAGAAGGTTTTAAGATGAAGTGAGAGATGAAATTATAAGCAATTTAAAGTATTATAATATAAATTGCAATGAGCATCTTATTTATGTTCACTTGTCTGAAATCTTCACTTGAACTTCTATGTTAAGCCTTCTTGATAAACTTCATCATTGATGTGCATGACACTTTTGATCCTTTTCTTCTTCAGTACTCTTTGTCTTCATCAAAACTGAACTAGATGTGCATTGTATTCTTCACATTCTCCCACTTTTGATGATGACAAACTCTTTAAATTTTTTTATTTTATTTTGATAATGATTGAAATATCTCCCCTTAGGTTGTGTGTGTGACGCCCCGATTCTGAATTCCCATTAATTGTTAAGTCTTTTAATTTATTTAATTGATGTTTGTTTTAAATTGAGAAATTATATATTGCTATGTGGTGTTTTGCTTATTTTATCTATTTTTACCGAATCAGAGAGTTTTCGGGGAATTAGAGTAAAAAGGACATTTTAGTCATTTAGCACTTTAGTGTGAGAATTGATTGATAAGTGTTGGAAAGAATTTGAGAGGAAAGAAATAGAGATAGAAATAGAATAAGAGAGGAAAAAGGGAGAAGATAGTAACATAAGAAGAAAAGCAAGAGAAAGAAAAGAGGAGAGGGGAAAGAGAAGAGAAAGTGGAGAGGAAAACCTAAAATCATCAAGGAATCATCACCAAAGCTTGCAATCGATCGGTAAGGGTGTGAAACTCCATCATCTCTTTAATGTGTATGATTGTATGTATATGTGTGTGGATTTTGTAGAGTTTCTACTCTTTTTCCACTTAGGTTAGAAGTTGGTTTTGTGAGTAGAATGAGGTTTTAATCGGTTAGAAATCGGATTAGATGATGTAGTTTAGTCGGGTGATGTTTGGGTTGTGCTACTGTGACTGGTTTGGATTTAATCGGTCGGTTGTGGGGAGTTTGGGCTTTGAGACAGCCATGGAAGTTCTGTCTTCGCAAGTTCGCCAGGCGAATGGCAGCGAAGCTTCGCCAGGCGAAGCCCAGCGAGCTGTAGCGAAGCAAGTCAGAAGCTAATACCCTGTATTCGCTGGCAAGTTCGCCAGGCGAGGTGAGTTGGCGAAGGTTCGCCAGGCGAGTAGGTAGCGAGCCTAAGCGAGTAATTCCAGAATTACTCCCAGTGGACTTCGCTGGGGAGTTCGCCAGGCGAAGGCCAGCGAGCATTCGCTGCGTGGCTTCGCCAGGCGAAGGTTGGCGAACCTGGCAGTGTTATTTTGTTTTGCTGTTTGTTCATAGCATGATGTTTGGTTGATTCAATTATGATTAATGCCTATATGAATGATTGATGTGTGAACTGTTTGACGTGTCGTGCTGTGGGTGGCCGAAAGGCGTGAATCCTAGATTGTAGAGTAAATGATAAATCATGAATATTTGATAATCTTGTGTATTTGCTCGAATTGAATAGAAACGCATTGATAGGCTGATAGGTATGTAAACCTTGTGTGAAATGGTGTATAATGTGAATGCATAATGAATATATGTGATGTATGTGATAAATGCAATAAGTATGTTTGTGAGCATAGTGTGCATTTTTGTGATTGATCCCGTGGAGGATTTGCAGAACCTCGTATGATACGATGGTTATATTAGATTCCTTGGAGAATCGGTTGCATTGTGTGATTCCTCGGAGAATCGGTCATAACATGTAATCCCGTGGAGGATTGGCTAGAGTATTTGATTCCGTGGAGAATCTGCTGAGTACTTGATCCCGTGGAGGATCTGCTGAATATTCGATTCCGTGGAGAATCTGATGAATATTTGATTCTGTGGAGAATCTGCTGAGTACTTGATCCCGTGGAGGATCTGCTGAATACTCGATTCCTTAGGGAATTTGTTGAATGAGTCGGTACCGCATTCGCATCTGCATAGGGTCGTGTGTCGGTCTCTATGAGTTGCATGAGTCATCTGTGTGTGATGCATTGGTTGTGTGAATATAACTGTGTATGTTATATATGATTGTTTGGAGGAAATATAGTGAATGTTCATGTGTATGTGTAGGGACATGATTATTTGTATATGCTTAATGTGGTGAGAACATAATTTGAGTATAACTTGTATAATTATGGAGTTATGTATATATACAATTTTATGCATTAACTGTTATGATGTTGTTTCTCACCCTTCTGCTGTTTTATGATGCTCTATGAGGCATTGCAGAGTAGGAAGCTGGAGGTTCTTTTTGTGAAGCGATGTCTTCATTCTTTTTGGTCAATGGCTCTGATATGTAACATCTGGGTAGTTAGGAAGTCTTTGACTCTTTTGGAGTTACATATGTTTGATTCTTTTGTGATACATATGTGTATGTATCTGTTGTGGATACGTTGTAAAACATGAATTAATTGATGGTTGTATATACTTTTATGAATGAGATCGATTCAATATTTGGATGTTTCCGCTTTATTCTAAATATTGAGATGTGGGTTACCCATTGTTGCATATCTATTTTGAGCAGGTATCGTATGTGTTTAATTTCATGATAATGTGATGCGCCTCTTTTATACCATGTTTTAATCAAACTCTGATGAAATAAATTTTCTATGTGCCTAATTGATTTATCTAATTTATTTGGGGTATAGAAAGGGGGTGTTACATTAAGTGGTATCAGAGCCAGTGTTGAGTCAGTCGTGTCTGTCTTGTTGTTGTGTTGGTTGAACGGTTGTTTAACCTTGTTGTTATTTTTG